TCGACGCCGCCTTCGCCGAGCGTCGCATCATGCTCGACGTCTTCATGACCCCCCGCCCCCTCCCCTGCAACCAGCCGACCATCCCCCTCTCCCGCCTCGCCCAAAACACCGGCCACCGCCCCGGCGACCGCACTTGGATCGCCGTCCACGGCAGCGTCTACGACGTCACAGACTTCGCTCCCATGCACCCCGGTGGGACCCTAATCATCAAGTCCAACGCCGGCGTCGACTGCTCAAAGTCCTTCGACAGCCTTGCGCACACCAACAACCCAGAGGTTGCCTCTCTCCTTACAAAGTATTTCGTCGGCCACCTCACACCCAAGCCCGACTTCCACGGCTCCGACGACCTCTCCTCCCTTTACGACCTCTGGTCCCAGTACCTCCGCACCACCGTCGAGACCCTTGTCGCCCAGCAGTTTGAGATGGAGGACCTCACTCACTCCCCCACCCTCTGGTTCCAGGAAGGTCTCATCAACATGCTCGGCGTCCGCATTTTCTACCAATACCAGTCCCGCCTTCTCCAGGGCGGCTTCGCGGCACTCTTCGGCCCCAAGTTCCAGGAGCTCGTCCTCCGCCTTTCCTTCACAGCCGCCAACGCCGCCGCCTCCACGGGTGTGGACGCCCGCCTCCCTGACATCCTCGGCGCCGTCTCCCGTGCCACGTCCTCCGCCCACGCCGTCGCTACCATGAAGGAAGTCTCGCTCGTCGGCCAGCTCATCTGCGACAGCGAGCAAGCCCGCCTCCAGGAACGTGGCATCATCGACTACGCCAGCCGCTCCGTCGCCCTCGACATCGGTCTGCTGGAGGACATTCGCGCCGAGGCCTGCAGCGGCATGGACGCCTTTGATGCCGTGATGGAGCTGGACGCTGGGTCAGAGGCCCAGCGCGTGGCGTCCATGTGCTCGTTCTTGATGCAGCTCCTGGAGAGGATGGCGAGCCGTTTGGATATCTTCTACGCCCAACTCTCCCGTCACTCCATCTACCAGCCCGCCCTGGAGGAGAACCCGGCCCGGACACGCTGGCACCTCGTCCGCCGCCGCATTCGAGACGGCTCGCTCTTCGTCATGGCTCGAGCCGCGACCCTCGAGCAGGCGCACCGTCCGAGAATGGACCGAGACGCCATCGACTTTGGAGGCGTCCTCTCGCGCGTGCAGCATACCCTCGCCGCTCCGGGACAACAGCAGAGACAGCCGCAACAGCCGCACCTCAAGCTTAACGAACGTCGCATGGCCAGGGCCGATGTACCTTCTGATGGCCCCCCTGCCCTCGAGCGCTTCGAAAACGAGAGTGCGGCGCGTCGCATGTCGACCTTCATCTCAGACAACATGCGCGCCATGCGCCGCCTCAGCACCCTCCCGCCGCCAATGCCGGGCCAGCAGGCTTTGGATTTCGAGCAGATCATGAAGGCAGGCAGGGACTCGAGCCTGGCGCGCCGGGGGCTGCCAACTCCACCTTCAAGCCGGGCATCAAGCAGGTCCCCTTCGAGGGGACCGCCGTCTTTATCAGGCCATGGAAGGACGCCCTCGCTCGCGGAGCACCTCAAAGCCGCTGCGGGACTGAATCGGCGGGGGTCGTCAAGGTCCGAGGGTGCGTTGAGGCTTGACACACATGCCCACTCGGTCGCGGGTCATCATTCCATGTCGCCCCTGGGAATGGGGCGGCCTCTGGCCAGGAGGGGTGACGGCATTGGAGGATCTTCGCCGTCGGCCATGGAGCCGAGAGCGAAGCTGGGCGCAAGGGCTTTTAGTGTCAGCAGCACAGGAGGGATGATGCAGGCGAGCGGGATGCACTCTACAACGAGCGCTCTGAGGTCGCTGCGTCTGGCGGAAATTGTGGACAGGAGGTGACTGGGTCTGGAAACAACTGTCATAGTCCATGTACATAATCCAACCAACATCTTATCATGGAAGCAGGCCTTTTTCATGTTGTTCCCCGGGTCCTTACCGCCAGTCGGCCTTGATAAAGTCCGCCGCCCTTTCGGCCACGGCGTACACCACACTCTGGATGTTCGCCCTCGGCACCAGCGGGAACACACTCGCATCAACCACTCGAAGCCCCTTGACGCCATACACTCTCAGCTTCTCATCCACGACACCCCCAGCGGCCCGTGGCATCATCGCGCACGTCCCAACAGGATGATACTCGCTCTGCGCCTTCTCCCTGATCCATGCCTCGACATTCTCCGGCGTCAGGTCGACGTACCCCGGCTGCAGAACCGTTCCTCCACCTGCAAGAAGGTCCGACAGGGGTGCGGTGGTGGCGATGGTGCGGAGGTGCAGAGCGATGACGGACAGGAGCTTGATGTCGAGAGGGTGGGAGAGGTAGCGGGGATCGATGGTCGGGTGGGCGAGGGGGTCGGCTGAGGCGGCATGCACTGAGCCGCGGGAGAAGGGATGTTCAAGAACGCCGAGGATGGAGAGGAAGTTGCCCTCCGCGGGGGTGCTGAAGAGTTTGGTGGTGTCGTGGGAGAATTGGGGGGAGATGCCGCCGCCGATGGTGAGTTCTTGAGCTACGGCCTCGGTGAGGAGGTCTTTGAGGAGGAGGGCGGTTTGGGTGATATAGCCGGGGGTGGCAATCTTGGACTTGGAGTCTGCTTCGGCTTGGGCGAGCATGGCCTTGGATGTAGCGCCGATCTGGGCGAGGGACAAGAGGGCGGAAGAGGCCCCGGCGGTGGATAGGGGGCCGGTCTTGTCGGCGAGGTACTGGTTCAGGGCGGCGGTGAAAAAGGTCTCGTTGCGGAAGTCCTCTAGGGTGGGAATGCCAGGATTGACGCGGTATCTAAGGGTGTCAGTATGCTCAGGCTGTCTCTTTCACTGTGCAGTCAGACTCACCCAGTTGGGACATAGAGATGGTCCTGGAGGTTCTCGCCGACATTGGCATTGTCGACCACCACGGGAATGCCCAGCTTATTGAGCAGCTCCTTCCCGCCGATGCCAGAGAGTTCAAGGATCTGGGGTGAGGCGATTGATCCCGCGGCCAAGATGACCTCCTTTCTCGCCGACACGGTTACCGTCTGGCTGTCCTTTGCGTACTCGACCCCCGAAGCCACGCGATCCTTCCCTCGCACCGTGAAAAGAATCTTGTGTGTATGCGCTGCCGTCAACACCTTCAGGTTCTGCCGGCTAGCAACAGGAAGGTAGTAGGCATTAGCCGCATAGCTGCGAGTATGTGTCGCCGTGTCGATGTTTACCAGGTTGGTGTATCCCCCAAGAGCCAGCCCCTTTCGCGGGTCTCCCTTGACACCAAGGCCGAGGTTCTCATACGTTCGTGGCCATGCCTCGGTGAGCGGCCCATACGAGTCAGGAAACGTGCTCGTTATAGGGCCCGACGTTCCATGAGCAGCAGGCTCAACATAGCCGGCGCGCAGGTCCGCAGCTGTCTGCGCCGACGGGGCGACGTAACGCTCCGACTTTGAAAAGTAAGGGGCCAGCTCGCGCCAAGACCAACCGGGGTTTCCTAGGGCGCCCCAGTTGTTGATGTCGCCCTGGGAAGGGTGCGTCCAGAACATGAAGTTCATGGCGCTGGAGCCTCCAAGCTGCTTGCCTCGGATATGGGCGAAGACGCGGTCGGCAGCGTGAGGCTGGGGAACAGTCTTGTAGTCCCAGTCGTATGCGGGGTTGCCATACATGATTGGAAAGAGACCGGGAGCGAGGACATTGAGGTCGGAGGATGTGTCGTTGCCGGCTTCGAGGACGAGGACGGACACGGAGGGGTCCTCGGACAGACGGGTCGCGACGGCCAGGCCGGCGGTGCCGCCGCCGACAATGCTAAACAAATGAGTGAGGTTCTAAGAACAGCTTTGGGGAAGTTTACTCACACAAAGTCGTAGGTTTCGGCTGCCATGATGAGAGGGAGCAGGGGTGAGAGGAGTCCGAGTCTGAGCAGTGAGGGACGCATCTTGACGCTAGGCCTCTAGGCGGTTGGTGTTTATACCTCGTGCTTAGACAACGTGGGCTGTCCAGAAATGAATACTGACGGGAGCTAGGTATTCCAAATATCGTGACAGGCAAGGAAATCCCGGTTCATATCCTCGGAGCAGAGTTGACGTGTTCGGGGCTGTTCAGGCGCAATTCCGCCGGTGAAGTGGGCTGTTATTCAGCATCCCGCTGCCGAAGACGCAATATCTGCACATAGGGTTGCATCGCACCTGCATTGCCGCCGGGACAGGCCGTGATTGGAATCGTTCGGCCCAGCCCGCAGAGGTGTTTACTGAGCGATCTCCTCATTGTCGGTTCATGGCGTGTTCGTGATCCAGGGCGACCATTGACAGCCAGGGATACCTCATACGGATCAGATTCTCGCCCTCCGTCATTTGGGAACAGCTTTCAATTCGGGGTGCCACTTGCCGGGCACCCGGGACCGAGATCCCTTGCATTAGGCACTCCTTGGTTCGATCGGGCTTTTATTCCAAGTTGATACTCAAGTTGACTGCTCATTGCTGAGTCCATCTTTGGGTTGCTCTCAAGGGTGCCTGGGGTCATTCTGACGAAACATTTGCATCTTCCCCTCTGTCACCCACTCCCCGATCTTTAAAAACACATAGCGGCAGTTTAAAGCTTGATATTCGAAGAGACTAAAGTTTCCAACGTGACGATGTGTCTTGTGGCTTTGATGTTTGTTCCGAGTCAGTGGTGTTTGCCCTGCGGTCTTTGCTACTTGTAGCCCAAACATCCACCCAATCCACAACAGGACCCGCAGCGTTGTGACCTAACGGTAAAAGTCCTGATTCTTTGATCGTATAGTGGTCAGTATGCCAGCTTGTCACGCTGGAGACCGGGGTTCAATTCCCCGTCAGAGAGCAAAATCTTTTTGCGTTCAGCACGAACCTACCTTGGCATCGTGGGCTAATCTTTTGCCCCGTTGCCCAGAGAAATCCAGATCCAGCCCAGTCGCAATTTCGTCAATTTCAAATTCTAGAACCTGCGCTGCTAGCAGTCCATCCTGCCACCAAGAGACATCCCATCTGACGCCTCCCACGATGCCTTCACCTATCAATCACAGGCGAGGTGGCCGAGTGGTTAAGGCGACAGACTAGAAGCATCTGTCCCAGGTCTTCATCAGCCATCTGTTGGGTTCGCCCGCGTAGGTTCAAATCCTGCCCTCGTCGCGGATTAATCAAGACGCGCTCAGCACAGCTGGGCTTTCATTTTTCTTTTTCTTTTGTCAGGCTGGCCTCTTCCCCTTTGCATAGCATATCGAGGGAAGACTTATCTGACGGCACTTCACCCTGGGCTGATCACCCGACACCGGACCCGACGGCTCGGCGATCGGTGAGCTCGCCGGATGCCCCCCGAAGTCCTCCCCTAGACCGGCTAGCATCGCCGTGAATCGCCCTGTTTGGGCCCGAACGCGGGGGCGGATGTGTCGGGGCAATGCTCCCCGAAGCCATCCCGGGCAGACAACTTTCAGGTAGCATGCTAAAAGGAGGCCATCCAGACAGTCCCAGTTCGCAGTGAAGCCTCACTCCCTCCTCCTCACCACCACCCTCACACCCTTCCAGCATGTCTTCATACCCCCAGGTTCGCATCCCGCCGCAAGAGGGCGACGGCACCGCCCACCTCCAGGCGGCCATCGACGCCCCGGGGCCTCTACACATCCTCCTCGAGCCTGGCATCCACCGCCTCGGCGGCGTCCGCCTTCGCTCCGACCTCACCCTCGAGCTCCTCAAGGGCGCCGAGGTACACTTCATCTCCGACTACGACGCCTACGCCTCCACTCCCGTCCGCGTCGTGGCCGAGGAGAGCGACCGCGGCATGCTCGTAGCCGACGGCGCCAGCAACATCTCCCTCATCGGCGAGGGTCGCATCTTCGGCAACGGAGCCGCCGGATTCACTGACGGCGACGACGTTGAGATGGGCACCTGGATCGCCAAGAAGCTCCGCCCCCGCGTCATCGTCCTCGACTCATGCCGCAACGTCCGCATCGAAGGCCTCCGCATCGACGACGCCCCCCTCTGGACCATGCACCTCATCGCCTGCGATGGCGTCTCCATCACCGGAGTGGCAGTTGACAACGATCGCCGCATGCCCAACACGGATGGCGTCGCCATCGACGGATGCGCAAACATGCGCATCGAGCGCTGCCAGTTCCGCACCGCCGACGATGGCATCGTCCTCAAGACCACCCGCCGCCCGGACGGCTCCCTCACTGGCCCTTGCGTCAACATCGTCGCGCGCGACTGCATCGTCGAGAGCAACTCGTGCGCACTGAAGCTCGGTACGGAATCCTTCTCTGCCTTCCGCGACATTGTCTTCGAGGACATTGCCGTCGAGAAATCAAACCGCGCCCTGGGCATCTTCTCCCGCGACGGCGGCGTCGTTGAGAACATCCGCTTCTCGCGCATCACCGTCGACTGCCACGACAAGCCGCGCGGCTTCTGGGGTTCCGGCGAGCCCCTTACCATCAACACCGTCGATCGCCGGCCGGAGGAGTTCCCCACCGGAAAGGTCTCAAAGATCCTCGTCGAGGACGTCACTGGTACTGTGGAGGGAGCCGTCAATATCGTCGCCGAGCGCCAAGGCGACATCTCGGGCATCACGCTGCGCCGCGTCAAGCTGCAGCAGCAAGTCGGCAAGTACGGCCGTGCGGCGACGTATGACCTCCGGCCTACGATCGCCGACCGCTTCGATCGCTTCGCTGAAGAGGGCGGCACCGGTCGTGCCAATGCTTTCCGGCTGGATGCCGAGGGTCGCGTCATTGGCATGATCGACTACCCGAGCGGCACGCCGGGCATCTTCGCCAAGGGTGTCGAGGACCTAGTGACGGAGGATGTCGAGATTTCGAGGCCATCGCCACTGCCAGCGGGGTGGAATCCGGAGACCATCATGCGGGTGTAGAGCAGACGTGAATCAAGCAGTCTTATCAGTCAAGTCAGGATGTCGCCATAGTGTTTGCGTGCCCACGTGGAAGAGCTCCGCTCGCTTCGGCTCTGCACGAGTGACGCTGACTAGGCAAGTTAAGCGGTCTAGACTTGCATGAACGTGAAAATGCAGCGCTTTGGCTGCGGAAGTCCGGGGTAGAGGTCCGAGGTGGTGTGGAAGCTTAAGCGAGCTGCTAGATTGAGTGCCTAGGTCAAGCTTATGGCGATTTGAAGATTGGAAACTTGGAAGCCAGGCCTGTGAGTCCGAGGTTGCCACACGGAAGGAGTCTGTGTTCTGCCTCGTGCGTGCTGAGGCATCGACGTCCACGTATCTCCCAAAAGTTAACCCGGGTGGCAACGGCCCGTGGTCACGGCTGGACAGACGACCCCAACATCAGACCCAGGCCAGTAGGAAACCAGGAGAGTCGGCTATCGGTCTACTGTCCCCTTGCAGGACAGCGTCGCATCCGGGCCGACAGCCACCTGTGCCTGACTACAGCCCGCGGAAGTCGCTTGTCGACGAATAGACGGCAGGCCTTGGGGAAGCAGATGCAGGCCTGGGAGCACAGTGCCACCAGACGAGGGGGAGACGGCCGTACTGTCTCCGTGAGGATTGCCTCCCAATTAAGCGGCACATGATGGTTGGTGGCCCGGCCGGGGAAACAGGGGCCGATCTGACCTGTGCCTGTGTCGCGTTGCAGTGAACGATACCCATATCTGGACGCAGCTGTCAGCTGATGAGTCGAACCATGTTTTTGAGCTTAATTTTACTGGTAGGTATTCGTAGTTCGAGACGAACTAAGCGTCATGGAGACATCGTCTTGTCATGAACTTTAGCATCAACTTCAGCCCTGATCATCACCAGACTCACAATGGCATCCTTAACTTTGAACTGACCACATTCAACGTCCACACATCAACACTGTTTACCTCGCTTTCGTTGCAAGCCCGATGGCCGCCAGGTTCCCCGCTCCCGGCCGCCTCTCCCCAGCCGCCACCCCGGGACGACCCCCTGGAGGGTAGCATCGCCCCGCGGCCAAGCATAGCCGGGACTCGGTTCTTGGCCCGCACAACCGGCCAGACCGTGCCGTACCCGTGCCAAGTGCCACCTGTATCGTGACGTTCTGGCCATGAGGATGCGGTTGCGCCCGTCTAGACCGCGGGGCCGGAGGGTGACCTTCCATGAGCCTAATCTGACGGCCGGCATGGGAGGAAAAGAAAAAAAGGGAATGCGACGCTGAGCAGCCACGACACGATGCCATTGCAGCTATATTAGACCACCGTCCGGAGTCACCGGCGTTTCCCTTGATCTGCTCCCCAAGATCTCCCCCTCCGATCTTCGAGCACCCTCCTCGAGCCTTCCACCATGGCCCCCCTCACCCCCCTCGGCGTCGCCCTCCTCGCAGGGCTGGCGCTCGCCCAGAAGCCCATCAACGGCGAGGACAACCACCCGCCCATCAAGACGTGGAAGTGCTCCCACGCCGCCGGCTGCGTCGAGCAAACAAACTACATCGTCCTCGACTCCCTCATCCACCCCGTCTACCAGGCCGCCAACGGCGAGTCCTGCGGCTCCTGGGGCAACGCACCCCCCGTCGAGGCCTGCCCTACACGCGAGGAGTGCGCCGAGAACTGTGTCATGGAGGCCGTCAAGGACTACAAGCCCTACGGCGTCGAGACTTCGGGTGACGCCCTCACCCTCTACCAGCTCGTCGATGGTCGCTACGCCTCGCCCCGCGTCTACCTTCTCGACGGCGCCAAGGACAAGTACGAGATGCTGCAGCTTACCGGAAACGAGTTCACCTTCGACGTCGACGTGTCCAAGCTGCCCTGCGGCATGAACAGTGCCCTGTACCTGTCGGAGATGGAGGCCGATGGCGGCGCCAGCGCGCTCAACAAGGGCGGTGCGGCGTTTGGAACCGGATACTGCGATGCGCAGTGCTACACGACGCCGTTCATCAACGGCGAGGGTAACGTTGAGGGATACGGTGCCTGCTGCGGCGAGCTGGTGAGTGTTTCCTCCACAAGATCTGCTGTGATGCTTGATACTGACTGGCTGCCAGGACATCTGGGAGGCCAACTCACGCGCCGTCCACGTCGCCCCCCACCCCTGCAACATCACTCGTCTCTACGAGTGCGAGGGCGAGGCCTGCCAGTTTGAGGGCGTCTGCGATAAGTACGGCTGCGCCTGGAACCCCTACCGCGTCGAGCAGGACGACTACTACGGCCGCGGGCCCGAGTTCGACGTCGACACCACCTCTCCCTTCACCGTCATCACCACCTTCCCCGCCGACGCCGACGGCAAGCTCACCTCGATCCACCGCTCCTACGTCCAGAACGGCCGGCTCATCCGCAGCGAGGTGGTCAACAACCCGGACCTGCCCCAGGTCAACGCGCTCGACGACGAGTTCTGCGAGGCCACGGGCGCGAGGCGCTTCATGGAGCTCGGCGCGCACGAGGGCATGGGAGACGCCATGTCCCGCGGCATGGTCCTGGCTGTCAGCCTCTGGTGGGACGCCGGCGGCGGTATGCAGTGGATGGATGGTGCGGCGCAGAACGCTGGGCCTTGCAATGAGACGGAGGGATTCCCGGACAACATCGTCAAGGTTGAGCCAAACCCGGTGGTGACGTTTAGCAACATCCGCTGGGGCGAGATCGGAACTACCTGGAAGGCGGACTGCCAGGCCCCAAGCAAGCTGAAGCTGTTCTAGGCGGGTGTCCGTGTAAAAGAGTATTTTGTTCTGGGGCTGTATGTTGGTGGAGAGCATATACCAGCTTAGTTGGAAATATTGAGTCGTTACAGACGCAGGTGGTGAACGACCGGGGTGACCTCAACTCACCGCTGAAGAGTGCTACCTCCAGGGATGTCCATCAAGCCCCGGGGGAAGAGACATGTTGACACCAGCAAACGACCATGCCTCAAAGAAGGCAGCTCGGAAAACCAGCTGGACATTCATGCTGCTGCCTGCTGATCAGTCTGCCCATTGGCGATGTGATGTCTCTCGGCTACTTCGCTGGCAACTCCCATCTCGCGAACAACTGCCTGCCGGGTACGGGCTCACTGCCTTGAATAAATACCAATTCTCGAGACCTGACCTAAAAACAGGTTCGTGCGGCGGCAGGGCTCCCGGGACCCGGCCAAGACGGGTGTCCACAGCGCACCCCTGAACGACAAATAGGGGGCGACCACGACCGCTACCACGCCCCATGGGCCTAAAGTGCCAGGGCGAACCCAACCCTTGCTTTTCATC